TGGGGGGGGGGGGGGGTTAATGGGACTTATAGTCAAAAACCGATTAATCTCAACCATTTTTAGAACAAACCACACTGGCGCATGTGGTGCAGCTGTTGGGAGTTTAGATATCGTGCATAGAGGACCTGAGTTTGTTTTCCGTGAGTGGGGAAGGGAGGATTTTTATCGAGTATCTCGGCCTTTCTGCTGAGATGTTGTTTCCCTCTCTCAGCTGGTGTTAGCCCGGACAGGCAAGGTCGAAGCCTGCCTCCTAAATTTATGATCTAAATGGTATTGCTAGGGGTGTAAAAACGCAAGAGCAAAAAAAAAAAAAAGTCACGTGACGCAGAGCAGACGCTAGCGATGAGTCGCGAGGTGTGTATCCCTTTGCGCGACAACATCACACGGCGTGTTGACTGGCACTCCCTGGCTTGGTATTTTGACCAATGGCGATGCTTTAAACCTGTCACATCCCCCAGTCCGTCGCGTGCGACAAGGTCTCGGTCGCCACAGGGACCAATCGCAAGTGACAGTCGCGGGAGGCTAGACATCGCGTCGCGAGTAATACGGGGTGCCCACTACCGATGAGATCGGCCGACTGGGTCGCCTAAAAAACAAACGTGTTTGTTTTCAATTTCAGGCGACCGAGTCGGGCGATCGGCCCGATCCAGCCGTAGTGGGCACCCTGTATAAGGAGACGAGTTCTTTATAATCTTACTTGGTTCATTTTGGAGCGGCAAGGACACGCGGGCGAGGCGACGTCGCGTCTCGCATAAGGAGACAATACTCTAAGGCATCGCTAATCTAGCTTTTAAAAAAATGCCAGTGGCGACCAGCAGTGGCATGTTCGTGAATGTCCTTCCTTGGTGTGGTATTGTGTATTTTGTATCCTTTGTACACAATTACCTTCTTTGTATGCATTAATGTAATTTGTGTATTTAAGTATGTATTAATATGTCATTGTGTTCGTTTGCCATTGTAGCCTTAATGTTTCCACTGGGATCAATAAAGTGTAATGTATTTTATAACTTGTTACTCTTGTTCAGGTCTTAAATAACCTACTAGTGTTGATAGGGACATTTAACTGTTACCATTTCGCCATTTCTTGTTCAGGTCCGAGAGTATGTACAGAGTGATGTTGAAAACGCACTTCGCACAATCGCAAACACCGGGCGTGTCTGGGTGACTTTTGAAGCGAACTACGCCATCTACTCCTCGGTGCAAGTGAGTACAAAAACCAGAAAGACACGCAACACTTTTTTGTTTTGTTTTGTATTGTTTTGTTGTGTTCTATTTTTTATTTTATTATTATTTATTTTTTAAATTTAAAAAAATTATTATTATTTTTATTCTTTTTTTTTTCTTTTTTTTTTGGGGGGGAGGGGGGTGGTTGTTGTTGTTTATTCGCAACCGTATAAGGTCATGTGAGCGCGCGAGACATATTAAGCATTTTCAGTTGGTACAAAATTTTGAAATTTGCCCGGAAGGCGGCCGAAGCAAGGCGTTGCAGTAGAAAGGCTGCAGAAAGAGTCTGGAGCCCAGAGAAAGGGATAAAAGAGGTGAGGGGGTGGGAGCAGAAAGTGGAGACGAAAGCAGACGACAGAACATTATTAGAGAGCAAGAAAGGGTGTGCAAGGATAAATTTTTAGAGAAGAAAATTTGCATCGCTATCTAAAGGGTTGGTCTAAAAGTCTTCTCTCATGTTTCCTCTTGAAATGTCAATTCCTATGCTGAACAAAATTTTGTCTTAAGATTTTCAAAGCCTTTAGTTTAGTTTTTATTAAGGTCATATGAGCGCCTAGGTTGAGATGTAAACAGAGAAGTCCAAACAGATAATAATAATAATAATAATAATAATAATAATAATAATAATAATAATAATAATAATAATAATAATAATAAATAGCATTTGTATAGCGCATAACCCCGCTCGACAGCAAGCTCTATGCGCGTTACACTATATTATTACACCAGCAGACCATAGAACACTTAGAAACACTCTCAGCTTTCCGGGAAGCATACAGTGCAAGCAGCAGATGAAGCGCTCAAACATTAACAAACTGACAAGATCTTTCATTGTCTATTGCTGGGTACCCATTCCCACTTGGGTGAAGTGGGGAAAACTCGTGTAAAGTGCCTTTCCCAAGGACACAACGTCGGGTCCCTGACAGGATTCGAACCCACGACCTTACAGTTGCGAGTCCGAGAGCCTAACCCCTAGGCCACCGACGCCACCTCTCTAGCCTCAACAGCATAAAGACTGCTTCGACTATCAAAGCACCTCGGAAATAGCAGTTCCCAAAGAGTGATAAACATATAAAAGAAGTAGAGGGGAAATGACGATAGTAAGGATGACGAAATAAAAAGCAGCAGTTCTCACTATGCTGTTGCGGCACAGTAAGAGCATGACATTGGTAAATCAGCCCATTTACAATTCTACTGTGCTTAAGAACATATTAATGTCCTCCTTTTGGGAATGGCCTAAAGACACTTCAGTTAGTAGCTCTGCCAATTATGAAAGCAATTAATAAAATAATTGTGAAGCGTCGTAGTTTTTCTAAGGGATGTTATCTTAGTTTTAGCCATCCATAATCAGAGTGATGTATATAAAACTTTAAAAATTAATTATAATATTACGATTTGGGTTACTTGAAATGTATTAAATCTTGTACATTTTATCTTTTGTCCCAAATTCAGAACAACGTGCTGGTGGATAAATCACCGATTGCTTTGAGCAAATCGATGAAAAACTCCGTAGAAAGAATGGGAATGCAGAAAGCGTATGTGAGTATATTTGTGCTTTTTCTTTTTGGTTTTGGTAAGCGTTTCACGGCACTTACAACACAATTAAGGGCATATTATCATAAGTGCCGTAGAGATTAGAGGTGTTACTGGAGAGTAACAAACACCAGAAAGAAAGAGAAGACGTATGGACGATGAGTGTTTGGTAGGATCGAAGGCGCAGTTCACATACCAGCACCCGAAACCACCAGCTGTGCTTTTTCTACCACATGCTTTCTTGGTTGTTGTTTTTAAAGCCCCTCTCTAAATATCCTGTCACAGCTACTGTTCTAATTAAAATTGACCAACACCTCGCAGTTAGCTCAGTATGTATTATGAATGGATGTCTCTCGTAACACATATTGTGTGTTATTGCGCCCCCTTCGACACAATTTAGATCTTTTAGGAGGAGGGCTTCAGACCCTGCCTGTCAGAGCTAACCCAGGCTGAGAGAGGGATACAGCATCCCAGCAGAAAGACTGAGATACACGATACATCAAATTCCGATCTCCTGCATGCGACAGCGCAGGCGCTGGTGATTGGCCATCTGCCGGATCTCTCATAATGTGGAGATCTTGAATGTGGGTTGTTTGGGGAGTTTTCAAGACCCATTACCTCGTCTGACTTAGATGATTTCTAACGGAAACATGAGTTCAATTTGTAGGTCCCGCCTGTTTACATAAGCTTATATAGTAACAAGCTTAATAAATAATAATATTATTATGAACTATGAACCCGTCGCACAAAGCAGGGCTCATGACTTTGTATCTTAATCCATTTGGGTGCATGTATTAGTGTTTGTTTCCCTTGAATTTTGCACAATATTATTGTCTTTGCAGGTCTTCATAATATTATACATCATCTACGTTACGTATGTCAGTGAGGAGGATGAGGAGGAGGAGGAGGAGGAGGAGGAGGAGGAAGAGGAGGAGGAAGCAAACCTTAAAGATACTTTGTATTTTTCTTTGTTCTTTAGAATCGAGATTCTGTCGTTCTCATCAAGTTCTTGGCTTTCTTGGAGAAAGAGGTAAGAATCAAAACTGATTGAATTGTTACTCAAGTTGCAGTAACTAATAAATCGTATTATAGTCATTTATCTCCTCCTAGCACACTCACACAATTTCAAATTGATTACCAATTTCGCCACGCTGGTGGGAACACAAAGCGTTGCAATCAGTGGGGGTGCAAATCACTATCACTCAGGTATTGGTATTTCGTATGTACCTATTGGCAATAGGAAGAGGTGTCTTTTTCTGTGAATAGGTCATCTCGCTAAAGATCTCATGGCTTCTCGGCTGTACGTTCTCTTAACCTCCACCAAAGATCGTGTTGTGAACAACCTTTGACCACACTGAAGCAAACGTTTAGCTTAGTTTCCTATGATATCCAATAGTTATAATATATACTAGAAAGCAGTGTGCCTCACTTTTTACTTCCAAGCAAGTACACGTCGTTTTCTATAGCCCTACCTTTCGTATTCCATTATAAACCTTTTCTGTTCAGATTCCTTAAAGTTCTTCCTTACCTACTCTGTGATGATCCATTCTTTCCTTCCTTCGGATGCTTTAAAAAAAGTTATGTTACTCTGATCTTTCCCCATAACCCATATGTTTAGGTTCTCTAAGTAGGTTGCTCTGGGCCTACCTCAGCCTCGTTTGCCAGTGAGAGCTAGATGTTCAAGACCTTTATGTCTATTCCGGAGTCCCAAAACGCATAATTTGTCTCTATGAGGATCTATAGTTTATAACAAAACTTATTATGGATGTTTTGCCATACTTTCTGTCTCTAGATCGAAGCTGGCAGGGAATGGACTGAAGTCTCTGCGGCCGAAGAACTGGACAAGAGAAGATCGTAAGTAAAGTTGTGTTTTAACAATATTCTGGGGGTCTGGCTTCTTTGGGTCTTAGCAGGTATTTATTTAATTATTCACGAGTATCTCTCTCTCTCTCTCTCTCTCTCTCTCTCTCTCTCTCTCTCTCTCTCTCTCTCTCTCTCTCTCACACACACACACACACACACACACACACACACACACACACACACACACACACACACATACACATACATATACAAACATACATACAATCACACACACACACACGCGCACACACAAACACACACACAGACAGACAAACACACACACACACACACAGACAGACAATCACAAACATTTATAATTGGTGTTATTTTATTAAACATACAAGTACGTGTGTGTATCAATGAAGTACAAATACAATGAAAACAAAAACACCAAGTTAACAAGCAAATAAACAAACAGGCACACGAAATTTAATGG